ACACACACACACACACACACACACACACACACACACACAAAGTCACCAGAAGGAAGAGCGGCAGCTAATTCCTCCCCCCGTGAAGAAATGCCTTACGGCGGTACCATGGGGGATCAGAGGATAGAAGAGAAAGGGGTTTAGGGTTTAGTGGGTAGGGGCGTCAGCGTCAAGTTTTAGTACGGCGCTGCGTCGAGTCACCACATATCCGGGCCAACATCTATGCCTAGAATCCGTAAAAAGGATTCCCCCTCCCCTAAAGGAAAAAAAAACACACACACACACACACACAGCCAAGCAATGGTGGCTCCAAGAAACCGAGGAGGAAAAAGACAGGAACTAAAGCTGTGCTTGTCCAACCAGCTGAAGGGCAAACATACGCCGATCTCTTCAAGGAAATCAAGGCCAAGGTAAGCCTTGTCGAGACGGGCGTAGACATAAAAACACACACACACACACACACACCAACACACACACACATATACACACACACCAACACACACACACACACACACATACACATACATACGGACATCACCGCGCAAATAGTCAGGGAAGCTTCCTAGGACTTCGAAACGTCGAGATCCGATGAAAACTCGATTTTCGAGAAACGGGGTAAAACAAATGACTTCCCGAGTTTTGAAAATTTTCAATTTTTTTAGCGGGAAGTTAAAAAACACTTTTTTCGGTTTTCTTTCGTTCACGATATCTCTCGAACGAATTAACCGATTTTGACCGGATTAGCGGCGATCGATGTGGTTTTTTTAAGTTTAAGGGCGGATTAGTTTTTGGAGTTGATCGGTAAAGCCGTTTTACAGTTATTACAAAAAAACCAGTTAAAAAAAATTTTTTTTCTTATTTTTTTTGAGATTTTTCAAAATTTCTAAAAGTCTATCGGTCCGAATCGGTTCAAATTCACAGGAAATCTAAGTTTGAGGGAACTCTTTAGACCTTCGTCTGATACGTTCCGATCGGTTCAGACGTTCAAAAGTTATAAGCGATCACATAGTCACACACACACACACACACACACACACACACACACACACACACACACACACACACACACACACACACACACACCGTGTCGGGCTGCTGGGACTCGCATCGGGCGCCTCCCCAGGTGGCGGATAGGGGAATGCCTGGCAGATATGTCAGGTACCGAGAAAATAAAATACTCAGGGTGGACCAAACCCAGCAAAACAAAACGATATGGAAATGTCACAGAACTTTCAAACATCGTTTACCGCACAGGGGAGGGATACCTCAGTGCCGGCGGCAAAAATCTCCAATGGAACGACTCGGCAGCAAGATCGAAGAGTTAGCTGATTTCATCAGGGACAAAAGAAATCTCCACCATGAAATTCGAAAATTAGTTACGTCCATTACCACGGCATATAGGTTGGCCAACAAATCACCAACGACGTCAGCGATAACCACGCAAACATCTCCGTGGATGACTACAAAAGCACAGCCACCTTCGGTCACGCGTGAGAAGTCACAACAGCAAGGAGAGAAAAACAACAAGAAGAGGCTGCTGTCCACGCCCAGCCGTCTATCTCTCACCTAACGAAGAGATTAGTGTGTTCCGACAGGAACTGGCGAATATAGAAGATGTGGTCACAAGGTTCGACGGCGAAGTCATCGTAGCCGGAGACTTCAACGCTAAATCGGCTGAGTGAGGCGTTGCTTTCTCCGATACCAGAGATAACCAGGTCACTGACGTCGCAGCTAGACTCGACCTCATAGTGCTGAATACTGGCAGCACCACGACCTTTAGAAGACCAGGGTACCAAGAATTTATCCTCGACATTTCGTTGGTGACTCCAAGGACTGCCAACATGATCGAGGACTGGACTGTATCCGAAGAATACAGTGGCAGTGATCACTAGTTCGTGGCATTCAACGTTGGATTGGCATCTGCTCCGGTTTCACAACGCGACCTTTCTAAGCGGAAGTGGAATACCAAGAGGCTTGATCCAGAGGCATTGCGAGCTTCACTTGCATAAAGCTGGTCTATCCTTCAGAAAAACCTGACTCCGGATACCTGCAGCAAGACGGAAAAGGCAGTGCTAAATACAATGAAGGAGATTGCTGCTGCATGTGACGCCTTTATGCCGCGGCTGAAAAACCAGAGTTTCCACAAGCCAGCGTACTGGTGGTCAACAGACATAGCAGAACTTCGCAACAGATGTCATGAGCTACGTCCCCGTGCCACGAGAGCTGCAAAACGCTCTCCGAACCAGGACTTGTATTCAGAAGAGTACAAGCAGGCTACAAAAGACGCTAAACTGAGCCATCAAAGTAAGTAAAGCGAAGCTGTGGAAAGAGATCTGCAACGATCTTGACAAGGACATCTGGGGTAAAGCCTACCAAATTGTCGCCAAACGACTTGGAAAGGCTTCACCAGAGGCGCCGAAATCTCCAGCCTTGATGGACAGCATTTTAGCGGAGCTTTTCCCCAAACACCCGCCGCGGGAAAATAAACATTACACTAAAAACAGCGAAGAATACCCTTCACAACTAAGGAACTACAGGACGCGGCCAAGTCACTCAAAACAGAAAAGGCACCTGGACCTGATGGCATCCCGGCATCGGTGATCAAGATTGTAGCCCTGGAATACCCAGACATACTCTTGAACACCTACAACGCATGCTTGGCAACTGGCACGTTTCCCGCGGTCTGGAAACGGCGGAGATTGGTTCTCTTAGACAAAGGTAAGGGAACCCCCATAACATCTTCGTCGTGTCGACCACTCTGTATGCTAGACATTGCTGGAAAACTGCTCGAGAAGCTCATACAAGGGAGACTTCGCAACGACATAGACCGTGCTGGAGGTTTTGCCACCAACCACCATGGCTTCCGGAAAGGTCGTTCGACAGTCGGAGCGATTGAGAAAGTCATAAAGACAGCAACACAAGCATGGTCTGGTAGCCTCAAAGCTCGTAAAGTATGTCTTCTCCTCACGCTAGATGTCAAAAACGCATTTAACAACGTAAATTGGGTAGACGTTTTAGACGCTCTGGAGCACAAGTTTGACGTGAAGCCAGAGAATCTGGCACTAGTAGACAACTACCTTGACGATAGAAAGCTAAGAGTGGAAACTACTGAAGGCCCCCAAGAATACGCCATAACGGCTGGCGTGCCGCAAGGCTCAATAATGGGACCCGATCTATGGAACGCAGACTACGACGAGCTTCTTGAAATCCCGTTGCCAGAGCAAGTATAGCTAACAGGCTTTGCAGACGACGTTGTGGCCACTATAGTGGTGGACAGCGTAGAAGAGGCCGAACTGCTAGTTCGGGAAACCATTGACACTGTCGAGACTTGGCTTGATGAGCATCACCTTAAACTCGCCAAACAGAAAACCGAGATGGTCGTTTTGACACGTCAAAAATGGTTCCCAAAACCATTTGCTGTGGACATAGGAGGAACAACACTGACGTCAACAAAGGCCCTGCGCTATCTAGGGGTAATGATAGACAAGAAACTATCTTTCCGTGAACACCTCGACAGTGCATGCAAGAAAGCAAGCAAGACTGTGTCTAGCCTAGTACAAATTATGACCAACACCATGGGACCAAGAACAAAAAAGAGAAGAGTTCTTCTAGAAGCAGTCCACTCGGTACTGCTTTATGGAGCGAAGATATGGGCAAACATATTAAAGCAGAAGACCTACCGGCGAAAGATAGCAGCAGTACAGCGGCGAGGCGCTCTCAGGGTTGCCTGCGCCTACCGCACAGTTTTCGAAGCGGCTGTACTGGTCATTGGGGAGCCGCGCCCATCGACCTATTAGCGTTCGAAAGAGCAAAACTCTATGACGCCAAAGATAGTGACGAAAACATGAAGGACGCAAGAACGAGGATAAAGGCGGAAACGCAGCAAGAGTGGCAGGACCAATAGACATCGGGAGAGACGGGCAAATGGACAGCGCACCTGATCCCAAACATCAACGTCTGGCTTTCTCGGAAGCAGGGGGACAGGGACTTCTTCCTGACCCAGCTATTGACGGGACATGGGCAGTTCAATGCCTATCTTCTCAAGATGGGTTTGCACAGCACACCAACGTGCAAATACTGCCCAGACAAAATTGACAACGCCGAGCACACGTTTTTCGAGTGTGATCGGTGGAAGGACGACAGAATCAGCACCGAAGAAATAATAGGCATCACGCTCTCCCCTGAGAGCTTAGTAACCTGCATGATCAAAAAAGAAGAAAACTGGACAGCTGTAGCAGCCTACGCGTAGCGCCATTTAAAAAGAAAAATCGCAGAAAGGGATTAAAAACCAGTAGTAACAAGAAGTAGGTGTCGTGAGACACAACATGGACTGGATTGAAGTAATGCTAATGCGGTCCTGATCTAGTCTTCCCTGTAGCATCTATGGGGAAAGGAGAGAGGAGGATGTTTAGTCGGTATTGTTGCAAAATAATATTGACTTCTGAGTCCGACATACCCAGGCAAACACCTAGTCCTGGCACCAACACCAAGTCCTGGTATACGTAAATGCATTTTACCTCCTCTATAAAAAAAAAAAAAAACAACACACACACACACACATATACAGACATAGTGACAACCTCACGGGGATAGTCAGAGAAGCTTCCTGTAACCTTCAAACGTCGAGATCTGATGAAAACTCGATTTTTACAAAACGGGGTGAAAACAATAACTTCCCAATTTTTGAAAATTTCCGATTTTCTTAGCGGGAAGTTAAAAAGGAATCCTAACCATGTCTCTTATAGTGTCAATAATTGGTGCTTTTACCTTATATTAACAATTGAAATGCAAGTAGGCGTGCTCCTAGAAGATTTAGTTTGAAATTTCGTAACTTTGATTCGATTTTGAGCTTACGATAAAAACGCCTATAGTTTTGATAGTGTATGTGACGGGTGGGCCTACCCTCCCGTCAATATTAGGATAAATCATATATATTTCTATAAATCGATGGGCCATTTTGCCCACCTGAATTAGACACCGAATTTCCGTTGTCCTTCTAGACTGACTCTGGTTACCGAGAGTCGCTACTTGCACGTGGTGCTGATGAGACGCTTTCTCATGGGAACCGAGCGAACAGGTACTCTAATACAGGGAACCGCTTTCGGCGTATTAATACCTTTTTCTGCTGACTAAGGAACTTGACAATAACCACCTAGTTCCCGAAGGCGGAATAATCTTAGTTCATTCGCGGAATAATATGAGTTCAGCGCAGTAATACAGGTGTCCGACGGCATCCGCGACCGAGGTGGCACAAACCTGCAACCTCCAGAATAAGCGACCACTTGTAGTCAGTCAGTCGTTTTAGTCTGTCCGAATCTATGTTGAGTCCAAGCTGTCTTGCATCGTAATTAATTGTCTCCTAAGACTCTCATTCTCGTTGCTGTCCCATCTCTCTCTCTGTAATAGAATCATTAGTATGCATTTATCGAATAATATTGTGTCTGTTTAGAATCGCTTTAGTAGAGAATTAGATTGTAAAAGAGACTCTCAGGGCC